CTTACAGAGCCTTGTCTCTTGCCTTGGAGGAATGTTTCTGAGTGGTGTTTTTAGGCGACTTTCCAAAGATCTACGCCATTGCAGAGGGGGACTTCCTGACCTGGTTGTGTGGCGTACTCACACTAATCACTTCAAGGTATATTGGGAGATCATGGAAGTACTCTGTGCTCAGCTATCTTACCCTTAGGTATAAAACCTTCCAGTTGTCAGTCCATACAAACTATTTTCCTGTTGTGGTGGAGTTAAACCTGCTGCTCAGCTGCCCAGAAGCTATGGCAAGTAGTAGGTGATTGTTTATCTGCTATTTATTTCATCACAGTTTGCTGTAGCTTTAATGGGCACAATGAGAAACAGCAAGAGGTGGCTAGGTAGTGTTGTAGACTAGGTCTTCGATTTAAAACTACTGTAAAGCAACTGTTATCAATCAGTCATACACATTCTGTTAGCAAGGAGTGCTAATGTCACCACTTACACAAAAACTTGAATATATGAGACTACAACAACTATGTTTGCTACAAAAATTGAGTAAACAGTCATGGTTTGTATCTTATCTTGCATGGCAGTGGAATGGGTATTAGGAGACTATTGGACATAGCTGCTGGAGCAACTTTTTATACGTTTATTATAAAACAGAGCTGAATAGCAGGAATTAGTTCTCTAGAACATCTGAATAAGTAAGTTGCTGTCAGTATCAGCTGGAACAGGTGAAGTTGCAGATGATCAATTTTTGAATATGAGGTAGCTTCATTCACCAGTGGCTCTATCTGTGTTTTGGTGGATATTTACTGTATAAAAGTTCATTCTCTTGACAGTTAAACTTTGGAACATGGGTTAATAACTTAGCACCCATCCATTGTGCTAAATCTATGGTATTTTTGTTGTAAATAATAGCCATAGAAGAGTACTTATATTAGTCTGTGGGAGCTAATGAGCTTTCAGTTCCTTCACAGGCATACTACTAATCAATCATCCACATTTCTTTGTAGCTGGTGGAAGTAAAAGGTCCCAATGATCGCCTGTCCCACAAGCAGATAATCTGGCTGAGTGAACTGAAGAAGCTGGGTGCTACAGTAGAAGTTTGTCATGTGCAAGCTGTTGGAGGCAAGAGTAAACGCCTCAGTTGACAATGTGAGTAAGGGGTGCTTTTAAAGGAACTGGCATGATACACACTACTGGCTGCTGCTTATTAAAAGTAGTTTCTTCTAAAATTCTGGTTTCTTGGAACATTACTGTAGTTACTTTTAGCACAAAACATTCTAAAAAAGTTTGAGAAGACTGTTAGTGTGATTTACTGTACGTCACTTTGTGTGCAGACCAAAGCCTTTCTCTTCTATATACAATTCATAACTTATTCTATGAAAGGTAATCTGGGGGTAATTTGCCTAGTAAAGAGAAACAAACAGCTGCAATCACACTGGTACCAACTAAGAACAGTGTCTGCAATAAAAAAATGTGGTGCATCAAGTCCTGATCATTTCCATGTTGCCTGTGTAGCCTGAGTTCATTCTGTTGTGCAAGTTTCCTTGCAAGGTGCAAGTTTAGCACCTTTCCAGGATTGTCAGGACCAGCGTGGTTCTCTAACTGTCCCCACTTTGTATTATGTGTTTCAATTTTTCAGTTTAATGTAAAAAAAATACAGCTGGTCAATGATGGCCTAGAGTAAGGCATAAAACTTTTTTTTTAAATGCTGTTTTAATGTGCTGCTACATATGAAAGCATAATTTAACAGCTCCTTATGTTGCGAATATCTGTATAAAGGAGAAATATTTCTCATAGTAGAGAGGAGGTGTTCAGTGCCAACATCACTGCACTGAGTTGTGGTGTGTCACTTCTTATCATAGTCAGTTTTGCCCCACATAAATGGATGTGTTTTTCTTATTCAGAAATAAGTCGAGTCAATTGAAATGGAACCAAAAGGATGAGTTCTCTTAAGACACCAGAATCCTGTGGGTTTGTCTCAATTTTAACCCGTAGCCAACATCTTTTCTCTGGAGTCTTTATTCTCATACTGAGTAAGTTTTCCTGATATCAGAAATTCTGCTTACCATACAAACAGCAGAGACTGTAACAGAATGTAGTGAGAAATTAAGATCATTTGCATATCTTTTTTTATTAATCATCTTTCTACAGCACATTGTCCCTGCTTTTCTTGGAAAAAACAAACACAGCCCCTGCTATTTTTTTTTGTTGTTGTTGTTAGAGGAAGTTAAAGAAAACCACCTGAAGTTTGCTGTGGAAAGGTATGAACTTTTATTTAGTCTAATTTATTTCACATTCACAACTCAGCATCAGGATTTTACAATCTTCCTGGCACTGCTACTTTACTCAATAAATCATTATCAGGCACAAAGGTTTTAGTTTCAGTTGAAATAGTGAGCTCTAAACCATCACAGCAACAGCATTAGAAACCTACTGCCTAGAGCAATTTGAGGTACGGATTTCCATCTCTTATGTTAGAGGCAAATTTAAGATTTTGTCCTTTGCTTAAATATATGTTAGAAATTTTTTGGTTTTAATGTCTTTCCATCTGAGAGTAAGCCAAAACCTTTGCCCCACTTGCTACATTTTCATTAAAAATACAAGGCAGTTAATATCAAAGTGGTATTGCAGGCAGGTGCACATTAAACACACGTGCAGGCCTGGGTATATATATACACACAAACACACACTTTTCAATGCATTTCTGGAATGAAAGAAATCTCTTCAATACATGGCAGTAAATGGTGAATAAAGTTGTACTGCCATGATCACTAAGTCTACAATAAGCTCTACCTCACAGTACTTAATGACACTGGAGGTACACTTTTAACCATATCAACCAGCGTTCCATATTTCCCCCCCTCATGGTTTACAGTGTAGTACAAAAGTCATGATATAACAGCCAGTAACAGCCAAAGTAGTGCACATTTTCTAGAAACAGACAAAAAAAGATGAGCTGCTTGGTAGTTTCTCTACTCTTGCAACACCAAAATGGCATTAACAGTATCTTGTTTTAAATGGTGAACAGAAATTAAAATTTGAAAATGTGTACATATATATATACACACACATATATATACACACACTTTTATGTCAGTACTCTGTACATAGAAGTCAAAGATACATACTCAAACCCCAAAATTGCTTTTAAAAGTTACAAAAGATGTTCAGAGCAGTCCCTACTGACTATTGCTAAGGCAACTGTGCAGAGTGGAGAAAATTTTAAAATTAACACTTAGTACCTGTCTTTCAAAAGTAAATTAAAATTAAGATGTTTAACTTAACTTAAGAGGAAGAAACAACATACACAAGCACGCATGCACACACACACAGACACACAGTAGTTGTTCAGATTCCTCAGAAGGCAAGGCCTGTACAACCCTGAGGGTGCAGAACCTTGTCTATATTTCCAGGGAAAGGTGGATAGCTCCCCTTCCTCCCTGCAGGAGGTGCCCCCATCTCTCCCCCACACTTATCACCAACTCAGCCTCTGCTCGCTTAACTCCCGTTTTTGAGCTGTGTAAAATTTCTTTTTAAGTCTGTTTGGCAAATAGATATTTGACAGCTTTTATTATAAAGGCATATTATTTTTAACCCTCTCCCATGCTATATATATATATATAAAATACAAAGACCATCTGCAGCATCTGTACACAACTTAGAACTGAAATGTTAAAATGTCTGAAATCTCCTTATAAAAGACAATCCCGTTTAAATAAGTACCCATTTTTCCCCCCAAAGGGTACTAGCCTAAACATTAATTTTTATTTTTTTTAATTCCACCAGCAGCCTGTGTGGAGTAATTTATTTACACGGTTTTTTTGGTACCTTTAAACCAAAAAAGTTACACTTCTAAGGAAAAAAAAGAAAAGGACACCATAGTTTTAACTGTAATTTTAAAAAGAAAAAAAAAATTGGTACCAAAAGACACTAAGCACACAGGTTGAGGTCTTTTATGTCAAGTATCAGGGCAGGGAAAGCAGTAAGCTAATGAAAAAAAAAAAAAAAATCACAAAAGCAAACTAATACAAACATTTGAAATAATATGTCAGATGACTGCTTCAGCAAGTTGTAAATGAACACTAGTTTGTGGACCATTTAACATGCTCAGACCATCTTGCAGCATAATTAGGCAATTGAGGTGAATACATGTTTCTTCCTCACAAACAATTGACCAGAACCAATCTGGCATTCTGTCATAACATGCATGTGCGTGCCCGCATGCAGACGCGCACATGCACACGCACGCACACACACGCTCGGCTGCTTTGCATAAAAAAAGGGGGGTTTGGTTAGTTAAAAAAGGAAGTCTACCCCACACCTCACATTAGCTCACCTTTACAATGAAACTGCCCGCTTATCCCCACCAAACCAAACACAGTGCGAGAAAGCAGCATAGTCAGTACCCCCCAACAGCTTTGTACCTTAGGTAATTTTTAGACCTGGGGAAAACAGGGTCCTGTATGCACTGGACTTCTAGCACAAAGCTTGCACCTATAAGGCCACTCCAGATGTGTATTCTCGAAAATAAATCCTTGAGCAATCTTAGCCATCCAAAACCCACGTTGCAATTTAGGCTGTGCTGAAGACCAGTTTGGTTTTACAAACAAATAAAAAGCTCCAAATCCCATCCCTCCCTGCCTTTTTTTAAACTGTAATATAGTGCATATTATTATTGTACAGCTTTTTCACCCCCCTCCCCGATAACGGAGAATAGCTTGTAGTCTACCATACAAGGCCTTTGATGCCTTAACCTGCGAGTCAGCACCTGAATAGAAGCTTGGCATTGGTTCAGTAGCATTTGTGTTTTACAGAGAAATCAGTTAATACAAAATACAGCCTCACTGTTAAGAGAAGGCAGCCAACAAAAGCCTTAACCTACGAGAATGACACATTACTATTCCTCTACTCTCCCAGTATACTCTCTTGCTTTTCTCCCTATGAAACTTGAGACATTTTCTGGCACAGCATCCAGGGGAGAGGTATCATTTAAAAGCTTTTAGAGTGAAGAGGAGGCTACTGCATTAAGCAGAGGAGGCTGTTGGATTTAATTCCCTCAAGCAGCGCTTGTCCATTGCACTGTCCATATGGACATGCATGTATGTAAGAAGGCAGCACCACTAACTGCTCTTCTTCCAGCACCTGCTTACAAGTGACAACAGCACTAGCACCCCTCGTGGATTTGGCCACTTGGAGCACGTCATCCTTTCTGGAACCCAGTAGGGCTTAAGTATGAATTCTGCTGAAAGCTACTTCATCCTGCAACAGGATGAGGAGAGGGTTGGCAGGGATCAGGATCCATGCAGGAATACAATGCTGAGTATTTGAGGTGCTTACATTAAAAATTGAGGCTCTCGTGAGACTTACAAATGAGCTTAACCTTAAAGAGGAAAAACCTGCTGTCTCTTGAGCTGGCCTTCTGTTATTTCCAGAAATGGAGAGGAGGATGCAGGGGATGGAACAATATTGAACTTACCATAACAACCTATTGTAAAAAGTTGGGGGGGAGGGGTGTCAGGTCAGCTGCATTAGAGTAATCTTGCTACTGTTTCCTCCCAATTAAAGGCACTTCTAAAGCTACTGCAATACCATATCTACAGTAATGTTTTAAGGTTAACAGTGCATTGTCCTGAAGTTGATTCCTATAGTCTAAAGTCAAGCTCATGACAAAGAGCACAAATCTGACTAATTGTTAATGAATACCTTTTGGGGAGAGAAAGAAAAGGGAACAACCACCCCATGGATACACACTGCATTAACACATATGTAGGATGATCCAAGTCACGGAATGTTAGTATGTATGTATGCATGTAAGTATTCTTCCTGAAGAGGCAATCTGATAAAATAATAGCTTGTTCCCAGATTTCAGCTGTCGGTCTCTGTCCACTGCACTGAACTACTTTGATTTGCCAAGCTGTTTTGGCACAAGAGTCACTTCAGTCACTATCTGGGAAAAAAGACATTTCAAGCAGAAGCCCTGTTAATGACCACACCACGCCTTTCAACTAGCTAATGAAATGCTCCATCGCATATAATAAGCCAAACCACAAAAATACAGAAGAAATCAGGGACCAGAAGCCCTAGCAGATGAGAACTACTGAAGACAAAATTGTGCGATTTGAAGCATGACTCGCTTTGCTTTTAAATATTTGTGCAAAACTTACATAACGTTTGTATATAAAAATTATTACAGCTTTCAATGCCGCATTTAGCAGTGTTAACTTAGAAAAGACAAAATGATATGCTGTGTTCTCCCCAAACCTTTAAACCACCACATCATCTTAATCTTCATTTGCAAGTGTCTCAGTGGATAGCCAGATTTTGGCCCCACTTAAAAATTTGCTTAAAGGTGTCCCCAGAATGCTCCGTCTGCATAGATTCCCTACAGGAGAAAATGGGAATGAGGAGGAGAGAAAGTCTGGGGCCTCAGAGGTGTCATTTAAACTATTTGCTCTGAAGTACATCCTGCTTTGATCCAGTTCTGAGCAGCTGCCTTGCAAAGAAGAGTTGCTTTTGTACTGCCGAAGATTCCGGTTTAACATGTCTACTTCATCTGCCAGCAAAGAAACTTTATGGAAAGCAGTGATGAAGCCACCATGATTAATCTGGGCTTCAGGAACCCAGCGGAAGTAGCACAGTTTCCAGAGTTTTATTTGTGTTCCAGAGAGATGGGGCAGAATTACACCGTGCAAATCAACAGGCTTTGCAAACCAGTCTCTGAAGTACTGTTCCATACTGTTACTCTGACTCTCTGTTTGCTGTAAAAAGTCCGGTTTCAGTTTTAGTATCAGAGAGTTTCTTCTTGGAAGGAACTCTTGCTCACTGATGATTCCGTTTTTCAATGCTGGGGGGACACCTCGCAATGTGGAGCTGTAGTTTTTCTGCAGAAAATAAATACTGGTAATTTTCCAGTCTTATGCTCATTTGAATAGCAGATTTCCCTGAGCTGCTAGGCTGCATCATCCAGAGAAATTATGTGACCTTTGAACAGTTCTGGGCTTGTGAGTCACTACTGCAGGACTCACAGGGCAAACTGTGGCCACCTGTAGCCTTTAAAAAGAAATACGTATGTTTTTGAGGCTTTCTAAAGCAATGAATGATTAAATTAATCAGTGTTCACTGAAAAAACTGACAACCCTGGGGGAAAAAAGTGGCATGTCATCACTGTTCCACGGGTGAAATAAGGCAAATGTTGGCAGTGAGCTCAGCCCTATCAGAAAATGTCCCAGAGCACAAGGCTCAACAATCTGCTCCTTTACTTCTACAGAAAAGAATTTCTTTAGGCTGGGAAGCTAAGAGAATTAATGCTCCTATATAACTAAATTTTTAAGCATTAACACCTTATGGTTAAGCACAGAAACAGTCCATTCACAGACATCACTATGGTTACCTTTGAGCGTTTAAAAGTTTTCACTGCTCCATTTTGTACACATGGCGCACTCTTCCCAATATACAAAGGGTTGTGAAAGAGCAGGCGGTCCCTGCTTGTAAACTGAAGAGACCAGTCCCAAACACAAGGAAATTTGAGGCCTTTCTCATCACCCAGCTGAATATTTTTGCTTATGGCAAATTCCTGCAAAAAGTTAACATTCAGGCATATTAAAATCAAAGAAAATAGGCTTATTCACAAATCTTAATTATAAACCAGTGCATAACTACTGAGCATAGAAGAGCAGGGATATAATTTAGAGGTGGCTGCGGATGAAAGCAACAGAGCAGCAAGACAGTCTGCTGCTGGAGAAAACAGCTGTACCCTGTTTTTCATTTGTGCAATGCAGAGGCAGGACTACTTACTTAGCAAAAATTACTTTTCAATGATATTAAATTGTTTGTTTACTCTTAAATCCCCCAAACTGTTATTTCGAGAATACACTAATGGTCCCTTAATGCTGTACTTCTTTGTAAGATAGTTACCTAAAACTTTAAAGGGAAAATATTTAACAAAATAAGTAAGTTTTACTTATTTACTTTATCAGCCATCAAATGTTTTCTACACGCAGTTCTGATAAGCTCCAGTTTTCAAAACAAATCTAAGTGTTCAGTTTTCTAAATACCTTTGAACTTAACAGTCTTTTCCAACTTTTTCAACTATTTAAACAATTATGTCAGGAGATTTCAAAGTTTGCCTGAAGTGTGAAATTCTATTTATTGCCCGTCATTCTACTTTATCAGTTCCAGATATAAAATCTGTTTCCTAGAGGAGTACAAATAATAATGTACAATAACAATGCTTTTCTAGGGAAAAAAAAAAAAAAAAAGACTGTCTATGCCAACTGTCTATGGAAAGATCACCTGAAAGGACATCCTGATCATATTCATCTGGGGAGCTGAATATTTTGCCCCAAACAGAGTGTGACATTTTGAAAAATACAAAGGAATACCATTTAGTTGAGATGACGTTATTTCCAGAAGGGCATGCTGAAGTCTCTTGTTTGAAAAGTATGTGGAACACTTCATACTCACAGTGCTTTCCTTTACTCGCTGATGAGGACAATTGAAAAGGAAAGTGCCAAACAATGAGATACGTGCACTGTCGTACAATATGGTCAAGTACATTTCAGAAAACTCGAAGGCTGCTGGGTATTGTTCTAGCAGCTGCCAAACACAGTCAAGAAACATCAAGAACAAAGGAGACTGGGAAAAGAAACAGAGAATTATTAGCCTTAACATAAGCTTTTCCCAAGTCGTACCAATTTCTTTGCAGTTAGTGCTCCATTAGGATATTCAGCTATACCTCCGGTACATTCCCCAACAGGGTAATCTATTTGGAGTATTCCATTTTGTATGATTTTATGAAACTGTAACACCCTGTATTCCTGTTAGCCACTTTCACAAGCAACTATGTGAACTGGCTTTGTCAGCATTACCTTTCCACAGCCTTCCCTTCTCTGTAAGAAGCCAGTCAATTCTTTCCTGGGTTCTCTTCGTACTCATGTAGCTGCAAAAATGCTTTCTGCCATCTTGTATGTCCCTCATAATTTCCAAATTAGTGCTTGTATGAGCCTTCCTTACTAATTGGCCTTATTTTCACAATGTATATACTTCTTTCCTGTTTTGAGTCACTGGGGGGCTTATGATTCAGCCACACTAACTTCTCACTACACTTTCTAGCTCTTTCCACAGTGGCCCATGAATAGCAAAAGTATAAACTATCATTTATGTAAAGTTTTAGAAATATTTTCCTCTTCCCAGTTTCACCCGTCTGTATATCCTTTCCTAGGGTCAAAACATCTGCTTTCTCATTATTTCGCCCTTGGTATTTCAGTTTCTTTATCCTACATGCATTTTCCCTGCTTAGTGCTCACTGTCCTCAGTTTATCTGTTGGCTCCACTCTCTGGGGATATTGCTTTTCTATTACTCTTGGGCATTGTCCCCAAAAAAGGCTGCTAACCTAGGGTCCTCTGTTTTTCCAACTGCAATTACAAGTCGCTCCTTTGCAATGAAAAGGCCAAATAAGATTAGCTGGAAATACTGAAAATCAAGCACTATGCTACCCTCTATTAATCTGTTTGGCAGCTGTGTATCAGTTCATAAAGCTGCAGTGCTTCTCTATCAGCTTAGTACTTTTCAAAGTACTGCACATTGATATGACTTTGCATTCAAAAAACCAGGGATGAAAACAGATACCCTTGGTAAAACAAACAAAAGAAACCACCCCCTCCAAACCCACTCCTAAACCCCTTTTATTTCAATTTAAAATGTGGGCTGTGCTAGCATTTGTAACACTGGGACCTCTTCATGTATAACACTGAAGCAACATAAAAACCCAGCAACATTTAATTGCACCTGGTGTTTCACTGATTCTCACAAGGCTACTGAAGATAAAGAAAATATATCTCTACCCTGGACAAAGACTCATTTTTTCTGACATTAGTTAATGAGATTTGAAAGTATCAAAAAATATTTTTACTTTTAGATTTCTGTGTGAATAAATATTCAGGCTGATATTAACCAGATACTGTTATCACATACAAATACAATTCATTTTTACCTCTTTGTCAGATCTCTTTAAGTGGTTACACCTATCTAAAAACTGATATCCTGCCATGACCCATTCCTTCTGTATTAAACTTTGAAATCCAACAATTGTTCGAAAATAGGGATCCAGCATGACTTGAATGAGAGAAGCAGCAAGACAGCTCAGGTCCCGTCCCTCTTCCTCTGTGAACATATAGAATGTATGAAATACATAAGGTATATATATGCACATATACAGAATTAGATCTCAAAAACCAGCAACTAGGTCTAGTGTTTTTCTTTTAATTTCTTTTAAAACATGCGTTTTGCTGCCATAATGGTTCTCATAGTTTAAAAAAAAACTACAAGAAAGAAACACCTTTTTTTTTTTTTTTAACTGAGACTCATATAATAGAAAAGGTTCCTGCAGTATCCAGCACAACAATACATTCATCAAGAACAAAATACCCACCCAAACGCCTCGTATTTAAACCAAGATGTGCTAAGAAGGAAGGTGTTCACGTTGCTGGAATTTTTCAACAGATCTTCCACCCTGAAGCAGTTTTTGGAAGGTCATTATATGGGGAGAGTGGGATATACCAGCTGGATGGGTCTTGTAAAAGTTACAGAAATTACAAAATTTCTGATCTTGATATGAGCAAATTTTTCAGTGTCTTTTTTTTCTGGAATATCTGTTTGCATTTACACAACAGCAGCCACTGTTAGTGAAATACTTTTGTACATAGGCGCTCTGAATAAAACTGACATTGCTTATGCATGGAGTATTAGCCCAGTTAACACAGTACAAAAGTTCACCCTAATGTTTTGATTCTGTCATATCATTTTCAGAATAAAAACCACAAAGACTCAAATTAAAATATTCATTTGATGCTGTGGACTACACTACAGTTCAGAGACATAACAAAATTATTTTCCTTTCTAGTTCCTCAAATACCTAAAATATTTAGAAGCAATGGGGTTTAACGTGTAAAGATTACAGTTGATTTTATCTAAACGTTTTTATCTACATTATCATACTAATGCTAAGAATACAGCATGCTATATGATTGGATTACCTTGTAGAACTACAGAAACATGCTTACACTCCATCATATATACAAGCTCAGCAGAATGCTTAAGAAATGATCTAGACAGGAAAACAAAATGATACAACAGTTAATATAACAGGTTCGCACTCTAGAAGAAAAAAATATTTGGAATATCTATATTTACCTAACTCATATATTAGAACAGAGAATCCTTCAACAGATTCACTGCTTATTTACACTGGTGAAAGTTTTTCACATCTCATTAACCATCATTTTATTAATGGTACAAACCTAATGTACTCTAACCAGCGAGTATTTTCCAGTGAGGATAGCCACTTCTCTTCAGTTTCTTCAAAAGGCTCTGCAACAAAGAAAGTAATTACATTGTAGAACAACTTCAAATAACTATTCCTGTTAGCCAGATCTAGTAGAATTTGTTGTATTTCAAGAAAGTAACCACCATGAAAGAAGGACAGTCCAGCATACCATTAACACACAGCTGTTTGAGTTTGATATGTGCAGCCTGGATTTCCTGGATGTTGGGGAGACACTTGTCCAGATCAGATTTGTAAACATCACTTCTTAGAGGATGGCTTCGAGTTATTGCATTACAAATCCTAAATAAGAAAAAGAATCAGCCATTTTATTATAAGAGCAGAGAGAAACAGTCTTTCAAGAAACATGCCACAGTCTTTAACTGCAAACAACTAAAACCACATAAAACATGCACCTTATTTAAAAAAAAAAAATTCTAGTTTATATTCGGGAGATATATTGCTCCTGCCACAAAGCTATTGACTCAAACATTTTTGGTATCTGTTAGTTACAAAACAAAAAAAATGGAAACGCTGGATCATTAAAACAACACGTTTGGGAAATGAAAATCTGAGGCTGACTTACAGTTAGAGAGATCTATTTAATTTTTAATTTTCCACAATCTTTAGTAAGACTCATCTAGGCTAAATAAACAGAACATATATAAACTTTATAAAGCCAGGAAATCTGACAGGGTTTCAAATAAAACTCGGAGATCCAGCCTAACACACACACAGTACAAGCATTTGTACTCCTACAAAAAGCCACCCTACAAATTAAACCAATGAACAAAAAATACCAAGCTAGTAAACTACTTATGCAAGGCTCTAAATGCCTTCATCTTTCATCAAGGACAATGAATGACAAATACTTCACAGAAATACCGAGTGCACTGTGGTGCTAAATCTATAGACTGTATTTCCCAACACCACAAGTAAATAATTTTTACTGTGTCTTGCTGAAGCAGGTAGGAAAATCTCCACCAACATAAGCTGTAATATAGTAACATCAATAGAAAAGATTAAGTCTGCTCCTTCTATCAATAAATTCTCTCATCTAAATGACTTGCTGTCTAAAAAATAAATGTCCCTTAAAATTTGAAAAATTATTCAGTATTTGAAACTGAAGTGGACCTTGAATAGAAATTGTGCCAGAATTATATTCTGAGAACAGTTTCTCAAAAGCTATTGCACTACAACATTATGAAGCAAGTAGCCTCTCAATTACCAATTACTGCTGTATGTTACACAGTCACTTGCATTATGCTACGCGTCTGATTAAAGAATAACATAACTAATGATTTACCTTTGATCAATTCTTCTTTGTTGCAATACATCTTTAATGTTGGCCATTCTTACGAGGGCACTCCCATTAGGGTGATTCCAGGACCATAACTAATTTGGGAAAAAAACACAAAAGAAACAAAATAATGCAGGTTAGTGTTGTTCCACAGAAATTTTTTTCTTAATGCTACACACAAAACTATGTTAATAGACATACATATCTTTAAGATTAATATTGTACAACGATCAAGAACAGTAACAGAATAAAGACTACACTTACTGGCATTCGTCTCCCAATAAAAGAGTAGGAGTACAGCTTAAGGTCTTGATCTGCTAAGGAAGATGGAACCACAAAATATTCTGGAAGGCTTGGGAAAAAAATATGATACAAGAGGTTACTTTTCCCTAGGTATTTGACCAGCTTTTCTCTTGCTGCGATGCTGCGTTACCAACTCTGTTAAACTATAATGCACCAGCCCCTAATAATATGGCAGTGCTAACTGCTTCTCCTGTATGCCTCCATGATCTTATATCTCATTGGTACAGCTCAGATGTGTTTGTTTAGAAATGTGCATGTTTCAAAGGGAAGTACAAAAGCATGAAAGCAACAAATGCCCCAAAATATAACATTTCCTTTAGTGACAACATTTGCAGGATCTTTTAACTGAGGGCCTCTTCAGAGAGTGGCACATCTAAGTGAAGTGCACAGTTAGGTAGGATAGAGGCTTTGGTAGAGGAGACAGGAAAAGACAGCATAATTGCCTTGTTTTGTTCTACTGGTGTTACAAGAGAAACTTACCAAGTAGATATCATATAACCTTCATTGACCGAACAAACTCTCCACTCTGATGCACCTGTCCTTTTGATTTCTCTATCCCAATCAGAGTAAGTTTCAAACAAAGGTGTCTGCTGACCACTGACACTGCCGATGCCGCCACCACCACCTCCTGGGTCTATTCCATTCACCTTCTTTGCTAGGAAAAGAAAATTCATCAATGCACATTTAAAAACAACAGAGAAAAAAATAAAACTCTTCACCTCCCTAATTAAAAGAATGAGCCACTAGCATCAGGACTAATGTTACCTATTTTTGTATTACAACAGATCAGTGATCTAATGACAGCTTCACAATACATGACGATGTAAATGTATTTTTTCCTGCAATTTCAACAGAGAAGTAACGTAAAATTGCTATGTTGTGCTGCTTGATAGAAAGCAAGACATACTAACAGTCAGGAATGAATGTTATCTTCAGTCACAGGATTTCTCTCTTCAACATGCCAAAGTTTGCAACATTTTAAAAGCATGAACCCTTTATAGGCTACCCTTTAATTAGGTACCTTATGAAGAAAGCAAAATAAAAATGATGTAGTTTCAACAGCTTTATTGACTGCTGTATTAAGAGCAAATAAAATAAATTGAAGGCCAGGTTAATATATATATATATATATATATATATATTTATATCCACACAAAAAGGTGGCCTACCATTTTGTCGCTAGGGTCCAAGATTATATAGTCTGTTACTAATACAGAAGGATCTCCTTTGCTGATCATTCTTTAGGTGCCAAGCAGGCAGTCAGCTGTGTCAAAGATGACTACATTTTGTTTCTTGACACTTGGAAGTGACTTTTTAGACAGAAGTGAAATAAACTGAGACTCAACCCTATTACCTCTGCCATGAAAGCTCCTAGCTTTAGCAAGAGTCTGTAAAGATGTAAGCGCCTGCCCAAACAAAGCAGAATACAGCGTTATGGCTCTACTGCCCTCTCAGTGATTGTGTAGCTTCTACTACTTCTATCAACTTCACTCTTGCACTAGTACTCAGACTACTTATGTTTTTCAGAAGAAAACTTGACTAAAATCAGAATTAAGTAGTTGTTCAAAGACAGTATACAGAGAAATATGATAATTACCCAAAAAATGTTATAATTTTACTGATCAATGGCAGGATATGTAATTCTCAAATATAGCCTGGGAAAAAATGATGTACATATACACCAGAGCAATGCAGGCTCTTTATGTTCCTCAAGAAGCACAAAGACAGTATTTCAGCTTTTACTTTACTAGGACTAGCAGGGATAGAGAGTCATAAAACACAGTGCTGGAATTGTAAGAGCAAAGCCAGAGATCTATGCTACAAACACCAGGGTTCAAAACAACAAAAAAAACCCCAACCCAAACCAAAAGTATTTCAAACTCTTTTCTCCAGCAACTGCAGCACAGCAGAACAACTATCTTTTGCCATTCTGATCTGCTGCTCCAGAGGAACAACATTTTTTACCCACCTTATATAATTCTTCCACTAGGTATTTTTCCATACAGCAAATGGTATTTTAAGGACAGAGTAAAGGCAACTTTATGACAGACTAACATTTTGTTCACACTCCACTTTAACATTTTATTGTAATTTTATCTGCAAATTAGCTTCCTCCCTAGTACTTTATAATGCTAAGTACATGGACCTGAATAACTGCCCAAGTTTTATCATCAGGTAAGAAATTGTATGTGTGATTATGTGTGTAACGTAATCACAAGCACACTTACTCCTGTGCACGCGCAGGGCAGTCGTGTAGGCACCTGCATAAAACCCATGCATTTTTGTGCAAATTCGAAGGCCTGAGCTCATAATTCCACAACATCCAAATTTTGTAACAGGCAGATCTGTGGTTTCTAATGCCAGCTGCTGAGTAAGTATTTCAGCACCACAGAACTACATCAATGGCACTTTCTCTATTTGGAGGCTTGTTACACTAGAACTGATGGGTTTCAGCTGTGTATTGGCTGGGGAACACTAAGCAGTGACCGCACAGCATTACACTAGAAATCAAGTTCCAAAGGCATCTTTTTCAGGCTTACCTAACTGACAAGGTTCAGTTGGAGATTGGCCTTGAGCAGAGAGGGTGTGCTCCAACTCAGCAGGGGTGGTGGAGGTTTTGAGTGGTAAGAACTGCCTAGTAAGCCTCTAGGAAAGAAGGTATGGAGTCCCAAGTTGCACAAATCCTCCTGCAATACCACCAGAAGAGAAACTTATTCCCAAAAGAAGGGCAGGTGAACAAGCCTGCCTGATGGGAGATTAGCTAGGTACCTAGAGTACCGATATAGACATACAACAGGAGGATCGAAGCGTGAATTGAGAAATATGAGTATTCATGCTGACGTTAAGTGCTGACATAGGTAGGCTTGTTTTGTTTCAGACAGGGAAGACATATCTCTCGATTTTGGTCGTTAATATCTATCACAATGAACGACTTACAACTGAAAGTAAGAGGTTGGGTGCAGGACAAGCCAATTGTACTACCCCTGGAGAAAGCCTCAAACGCTTTTTGCCACTGCTTCTGGACAGAAGTCTTACTAAAATTACATACTAAGAAATAGGAAAAAAAAAAAATCAAAATATTTTCGTACTTACCTGGATTATGATATATTTCCCCAACATACTCAAATGCAAAGAGAAGCTGAAGATCTGTTGGCTGAGAATAATGAGCTATTGCAAGGCACACCTAGGAAAGAAACATTTATTACTGTTATTTATAGACATAAAATTTATTGCCCTTAATTATGACAGCATGAAATATGCACAGCAAAAGTAAAAAATCAGTCATCTGATGTTTTATTTCCATATTTTATTCGAGAGAAGTGAATTATATAGTTAAACATACTCATATTTGCTGAGAGACCATTACTGTAATCGTAGTAGGTGAGTTCATGACTATCTATCAAGAGTGATTACCTGATAAGAGTGGAATAAGTTTTTGCAAGAAAGGTCAGACTGCAACAGGCATCCCTAAACATGATTCTCTGTATCAACAGAGACAAGCAAGGACTTGGACATACTATGCTGTGCCTGCCCACCTGCATATAGAAGTAAGGAGAACAGAAAAAGAGCACAACACACAGGTAGTAAACACAATACAGTAGAATCTCATTTGCAATTGGTCTTTTGATAATTTTTTTTTTTTTTTAAATAAAGAGTACTTATCAACATAGCAGAAAAACATAAGAATGGCCATACTGAGTCACTCCAAAAGGTCCAACCTAGGACTCTGTCCCTGACAGTAAACAGCAATCAATGCTTAGGGAAGAGGGTAAAAATAGAGAAAGCATAAAATGAAATTTTACCACGATGTATTTCAACAGTTCACAGTTCAGGCACTTCCTGAACTAAAATCTGGTATCAGTATTCAACAGCATTTGACAGATGTTTCTTCTACAAAGCTGTCAGTTGGGTCAAAAGGTTTTTGAAGTGCGACTTCCCTTTACAAAAGCCCTCTTGGTTCTTCCCTAAAGTATCACATCTAACCAAAAGTTTGTATCTGATTAAATTTTTATTATCTTTTCCACTAATTCACCCCATATAGGCAGCAGGCTGACCAGTCTGTGCTACCCAAAATTCAACCTTCAAAAATTTCTGCTCTTGGAACGGAAAACAAGAGATTGGTTACCCTTTGAAGACTTCCAGGACCTATGTCAATCCTGCACCTCATTAAGTTGTATTCCAAAATTCTGAACGGCATTGATGAATATAAACCAAATGCAAATTGTTTGGTAGTAAAGAACAGCTTTTCACCCAAGTTATTTGGAAATAAGTAATTCACGGTGGGAGATGCTTTCTTCACGTTAGTCACTTGCTTTGTTTGTCAGCTGAATGGCAGGCCAAAGATTCTCCATTAATCTCCAATTTCAATAAAAAGTGAGTCTTTAGAGTAGGTCCTTTTGCCAAGTGTGGGGGATCTACAGTTAAATATGCCAGTAATCACCCCTTTCTCAGTCCCCAGCTCATCTTGAGAACTGAAACATCAGCCAAACTCTCTGAGGGTAGCAAGATGTCAGCTTCATTAAATTTTGGTCTAGCCCTTATAGGTTCTGTCCCAGATGACTGGATTTCATTCACAAAAGAAACCCACCCATAACTTCTAGATGCCTGCAGGTTTATAGCAAGCTCCAACACTGTCTCTGACATTCTGATGCGTTAATCAGGTTTAACCAGGCTGAGTCACAGCAAGCCCTGCCCTGGGAAGGGAAATTCAGCAGAGATTTAAAATAAGAGAGATGCATCCTCAGAACAGCAGAGATTAACTTGGGGCACAAGAAAGAGTCTTGCCTAAGTCTTCACGTTCTTTGCAACAGTGTCGGGACCAGCATCACATAAGCAACTGGTTTTCTACCTGTACAAACTGTTCATTTTGGTAAAACCTTAAGATTAAAATTGAGAGTGCAGCACATGGTTTAAGATTAGATACTAGACTTCAAATACAGTCAAGCTTTGCTAGCCTTTGTCACTTTAAACGTAGCTATTCGCTAATAAACATAAAAAAATTTGACAAAACCAGTAATATCTAGAATCAAATTCAGGAAGAAAAAAAAAAAAAAAACCAACTTTCAAGTAGAGATTGGCACTGTTACTCTCCAAATTCCAGGACTTGATTTAGAGTCTCTAGCTTTGCCTTCTTCCATCAGTATTTGCTTCTCCATTTTACTAAAATGTACCCGCCTTACCTCTAAAGAAAATATTTAATGAAAAGGAGGCTATAAAACACTAAACTCTATTCTATATTTTCAGATACAGAAATTCCATGTGACAAAGTTTTTAATTAGGGACAAGGACATAGTATAAGTTCACATTATTACCACCTAAAATTTTTCCTTTCAATTTTCCTCCTTCCCTTCAACTCTCCACTGACATTTTATATTTAGCAACATGTTGACACAATTTATTCACTGTTTAGCAGTTTTGGATATTATTTTTGAAAAACATTCTGTGCATCCAAGAAATTGCTTTCTGTTAGTGAAGGAAAGTTTTCTTATTGTCATAGACATAAAAGAAAGATTTGCATGACACACAAGCAAAGGAATACTACTACTGGCAGCATTGTGCCACAGGAAAAAAAACTTGAGAGCTCACTTACGCCGGCTTCTGCACGGAGAAAGTTATTGTGCTTTTACTAGCTTGTATGCAACATATGTGGCATTATGGAACCTTCACCATATTTTTATTTACTTTGGCTTTTGATGGGGACATTCCTCACTATTTATAAAACCAGTAATGACTGTAGACCGACTTGAGTTGAAAATGTTTTTTTCACAAACACTCCCCAACAAAAAAATTCCTACTGAGTCTTAGAAGAACAGTTCCTTTAACTTTTCTCCCCACACTTTCAGTTCTACAATGAAACTGCAAAAGAAAACAGAGGACAGGACATTCAGGGTGGGGGGGAAGGATCCCCCCAAAACCCAAACAGTAAAAGTGGCACCGGGAAATAGTCTACCATAACTTTTCAAATGAACATTTATAAGCTCATTTCCAGGATTTGGTAAAGCTTTTAATAACTACCATGAAGTAGCTGGAAGCCATGCACATTTTATTAAATTTTGTGATTTCAGTGTGCAAGTCAAAGCTGAAGAAGCCAGCTAATCCATAATACTTGGCCTCTTCTAACAGACTACTTTTGCCTATCATTCACAATGAAACAAAATGGAAATCTGTGTACATACACATTTTTACTTCTGTTTTTCTATGTAATTTTTCACTACAGTAACTGATATTAACAGAGCGACTCCTCATCTTCATTTATGGGAGTGAAGGATGAAAGCCTTTTACTAAGCTGATCTACTCTCAAGGCTTCAGGATGAACTGCAAGACATTAAAAAATTCCGTTGTGCTGCCAAGTAACACAATAAAAATACAGTAAAACCTATTTTTAAAAGCAGCAGCTGAAATCTCTGTCATTTACTTGCCACATTTGAGAAAGAATGTCTGTGCTCTGTTAAGAGGGGTAAAATTGTGCCGGGGGAGATGGTAAGCATCTGGTTCCCCCAAAAATATGAGAACATAGCTGTGCTTTTGAACCCAGCAGCTGAAAAATGCTCCCAGGTGTTCCACAGTATAGACCTAACTTGCAATACCAGGTACTGCACAGGTAAAACAGTCCACCTGTAGATTACAATACAGGTTCAGTACCTCTATTTCTGTTATTAAAAAATGCATATATATTTATCCTGCTACTGTCTTAATTTTTACATTGTAGACAAATTCCACTCATATATAGACTAAACAAGTATTAGAGAGGTACTGATTTTCAGTTTACTCCTCATTAAATCTATATAGTAGTTTTATTGTCTGAAAGTTTCAAAAGACAAGCACATTCCACAGATCTCAGCAGATTATCACCATAAGTAGAAAGCTCTTAAATTGGAAGACAAACATGTTTTACAGGAAATGTTCTCATATCAAACTGAAAAATGTTTGGTATTCTTGCCAATTTACAATTGTGTAAAGCTGAAGATATTTGGGCTCAGTCAAATAACAAGAGAATGGACTGCTTGTTGGAAAGTTCATTTATTAAAAGCAGTGAACACAATGGCTGTAATTATTTCATAGTACAAAGGCCATTTCCCTATGTCAGTGTCCCCTGTCCAACCTCTGAGAAAAATAAATGATACTTTCAGGGCAAGCCCTCCACTTCTTCAACAGGAATTTTACCAAAGACAAGAGCTTCAAAATATTGCTAACGCTCTTGGGAAAAAAGAGTTTTGAACAGTCGTATTTAATATGTGCTAAGTTAGCATAGCCCTGCATTTCACCTCCTTCCCCCTAAAGCCAGGCTGTCTTATGAACTCACTGCAAGGATACTATTTTCCCTTGCTGCTGCAATTCCTATTCTGAGTAGACACCTGTAGTTGAAAGTCATGCAACCAGGACCAGATCAAGTCCCTCAGACAGAATTTGTTAATCATTCTAGGCAGGAAGTCTTCTAGGGAAAATAAGCTTCCAGGTAACAAGACTTTCAGCTCTAACTATTCTGCATGTTCTCCTAGCTGCTAAGCTACGAATTGTCCAACTGAGAACCGCTGGTGGTTTTTTTTTTTTTTTCTTTCCATAAGAATTCCAATACCAGCTATACATAATACTTAATTTGGTTTGAGTACAAGTAATCTACACAAGAGGAAACAGTACAAGGATTTCAGAAGCTGAAGTAACATTTTACATATCAGAATCCTTGTTTGTACAAGAATGTGTCTGAATTCTAAGTACAGGTTTCCTAAGTCTTAAGAAAAATATTAAAATACATTGCTATTTTTTAAAATTCCTTTAGATAAGTTTACTTCTAAAAAAAATTTTCTTCACCCCCTCCAATCCCACTCCAAAGACCATAAAGATAATATCTTCTCATGCATTCCCAGTGTCTTGAGGTATTACCAATTTAGTGATCTGTATAAACAATTAGAACAAAGTAATACAGAAGTTGGGGGGTGGGGGGAAGACATTACAAAGGGTCAGCATAATTTGTCCAAAACTCTCAGTTTCATATTATTCTTCATAACATTTAGGAAAAAAATTGTTCCACTCCATCCCAAGTGTTGTGACGTGTGAGAAGGCTAGTTTTGATTCCAGAGGAAACAAGATTTGAGATAAATAATTTTCTTTCTGTTTTGATTAAGCATGTGTTTCTGAAACTGCTCTCATACTCATTTAAAAAAGCTTCCTGAAGGAAAAGAACTGAGGGAGTTCCAGAAGAAAAAGAGATAGAGAAAACTGAGATATATTTAAGAAACAGGAGATTAGAGGGTGTGCGCCATTCTGGTGCACTGCCAAGATTCACATGCGTAGTGAGGCAACACGCTATCATCTAACAGTTGTAAGATCTAAAGCCTCACCTTTTCATACATTTTAATTTCTTAGTCTAATGTCAAGTACTTGTAGTGGCTAGAAATTAGCAGGAGTTTTCAGTTTGACTGTTTGTTCTGATTTTTGGAACAAAATCATTCCTTTTCCTTTAAGGAATGCTTCTTCTTTCACACTAACTTAAGACTTCCCCAACTTGCTTACCCTTGCTTCCCCATCCTCCACTTCCTCCCACACCCATCTGGCTTTCCTTCCTTTGAGGACTCTATAGCTTTATTTTTGAGACAAAGCAGAATTAAACTGCTAAATAGTGATGACTGCAAGTTTCCATTCCCCTCTGTTATTCCTTTTGTCTCCAAATATCCATTAATAAAAATGAGGAGGAAAATAGTTACTTGACTGATGAATGTTCAGACAGTATTTTGTTAGCATGTATTGGCTGCAACTAATGTTGAAGGTATTTTTCTAATAGAACTGATTTTTAAGCTTCTTCATAATAATTTACCCCAAAATAAACTAATTCACCTTGAAATTAAATGTGTTCTTCCAATTTGTTTCTGCTTAAAGGTAGAGAAAAACACCTCTGAAAGTTCTACCAATATTACCCATGCATCATGTCTGTATGTAATGAAGTCAGTCTGATTGTCCGCACCTGAACCCTGACTGCTTTCAAACTTGGATCCTTCTTTTCACACCTAGTACCAAAAAGAAACTCAGAATACTCTCTATTCTAGTAAGGCAGCTTAATTAGTAAGGGTTATTCTCCCTTATGCCCTGTTCAGCAAATATAGACACTTCCTTAGGAACAGATTACATTCTCTTCGCCAACACCAATTTATATAACCGAATGCTGTTGAGTATTTCCATTACATTCAAGGAACTACGCATGAAACAAATTACTTAACTGTATAAAGTTAGTATCTGTTCTCCTTGTAACTATTCCATATACTTAAAACTCATTTTTAAATAGTAATTATCAAGTATATTGTTTTTATTTCTTTAACTATTGCTCTAAACAGAACATTTGCTAGTATCTGGCAACAAGTTAGACACATTTATACTCCCATAGTTTGAAGTGTATATTTTAGTAGGTAGGCATTTCATTTTGACCTTCCAGTGCTTTATTCGTAGGATGATACTCCTCTGTATTACCAGGATGACATTTAGTTAGAAATCTCCCTGCTCTGATTTGTACAGCTGACTGTATTTATGTAAAGTTTGCTAAAGGAAGCTATTTATGATTTATAAAGCACTAACATGCAGGTCTTTTGCTTTACAGAACAGAGATTGTAATGCTAACTGTAACATCACCTTCCCTTCCCTTCTGCTTATTTTAAAAACAAGTGAAAAAAACCCACTTATTTTAAAAAACTTCAGTCATAAATACTTCAGGACATGATTTTAATTATAGTCTGCACAATTCACTGATTCCAACAGAAATTCTGCATTCTGCAGTTTCTCAACACTAGGCACCGTAGAAAACCTTCATAAAACACGCAAGCACAATTTATGCAGTTCATTTTTTACTCAGGAGGTCTTCATATCTAGCTCCAAAATGAGCATAAGCAAATTTTTGAGGAAAAAATACAGCTGACAATTATTTTAATATTTCTCACAGAGAAGACTGGACATTAAGGCCCCCAGGTCAAAAGGAAACAGAAGAAGCTGGATAGGGTCCAGTGGGCTACCAAGACGACTATGGTCCTGAAATACACCTTCTGAAGGAACTGGGCTCATTTAGCTGTGCAATAACGAGACTGCAGGAAACCACTACCAGGAAGGTAGTTACAGACTCAGTCTTGCCAGATGACATAATGGGCAGCAGCCAGAAACTTATCTTGGGACATTCAAGCTGGACATCAGGAAAAACATGCAGCCCTGGAACAGGTTACCCACAGAGGGAGAAGGCTCTCCATCCTTGGTGGTTTTCAAGATACAACTGGACAAATACACAGCTAACCTGATTTAATCCTGGCAACTCTGACGAGAAAGGTGGACTAGGTGATCTCCACAGGCCCCTCCAATCCAGGACCTCTGACTCCACGGTCAGTTCTCTACTACAACATTCTCTCAGTTAGAAGACAATGCTAGCACACTCAGCTGAAGAGAAGAGCAGGAATTCCCTCTCATCAGAACTCAGTTATACTTTAAGTCTTGGTCCTCTCTACAAAAGTTATGCACCCACAATTCTTCCCAAGACGACAGCTACCAATGTTTTCATGCACAAACAGCTGGATGTAAATATATATTAAAGAGGCCCTCTAGAACTATAAGGAAGCCTGACCACCTTCCTTTGTTTTTAAGCATCAGGACAACCTTGCTAGTATGTAGTACTTGAAGGCCAGGAACAGAAACCAGATAAAATCTTTCAAGAGTGTGGTGCTAGCATGCCATTTAAATGCCAGAAAGAACAAAATAACTCTACACAATATGCTGTGTAAGACCATTCTAGTTGTGTTCACCAGCACCTCAAAATAATTTAAGCAAAATCCTGATAGAAGAAACCTGATCTAAGGACCTCATAGCATTAAATAAATGTCTAAAACCAACAGAATACTGTTATTATGGAAACATTAGGCTAACAGAACATTATCTCCCTTCAGTAAAAGTGTGCTTCTGTGATACACCCACACGAAGCTGCAGTAACCTACTTGATGCATCAAAACTGCAATAGTAGCCACACAGCTGATACTAACATTTGTACAAGTTTTCATCCACTCCTCTAGTAAGCCCATTCTGATATTTGAAAATGGCAACTGTTACACCAGTACTATCTTTATAACCACACATATTCAGATCCTTCCCGACCTCTAGAACTAGCTGTTCTTCCTTTCAAAAGGAATCACATTAGACCGTGTAATTGTAAATGTATAAAGTAAGTGCCTTCATAAAAAGGTTTCACTTTTTGCTCTTGCATAAGTAAATGCAGCACAAAAAGTGTTAATGAGATGCTGAGTTTATGCTCTCTTCCTCCCTCCTCCAGGCTAATCACTCTCCTTAGCTGTGACAGCCAATTAGAAACAGTTGCTATAAAGATATTGCAGTAGACAGGCTGCTCCAGGGAGATTTCAGAGAAGCTGTGAAAGGGGAATTGACTGCTGAAAGATTGCCAAATGTGAAAGGTTACAAACAGCAAAGGCAGCAGGCAGGGAGGATTCTAGAAAAGTAGCAAGGAAAGAACACTGCTTCAATACTGGGCTTCTGCCCAGGGATCTCTATGAGAGGGTAAAAGGTGAAGAAGTGATGAACTTGGTTCACCAGTTACCCAATATGATAACTGCAAACAGACTTATGTCTGGGCAGATGGTTCTTACTGGACTTACAGGGTTAAGCTCAAACTTTATCCTACTGAGAAGGGGAATTCTTAAGCTCTGTGAGCAAACTGGGTAATTCCTTACGAAAGGATTGCTGTGCCACGCCTGGCTACAAAGTGGTGCCATGGAGGTCAGAGGAGCTGTAACTCAAATAACCTATGGCACCGATTCAGAACAAGGAAGCCAGTGAGCTAATGTCATTACATAGACTAACCATCTCTGATTAGCAGAAACTCACCTAGACCTTACCAGGTTAAATAACATTGTATGATTTTGTTGAGACTTATGACAACATGTGTTAAAACCAGGGAAGGAATGAAGTAATTCCTCTTGTCAAGAGGTACGCAAGTTTTTTCTAAGAAAATGTTGAGAAAGAGCACATAGTTTTATGTAGATTAGACAAACTGGTCATTCCAAGAGCTCATTGGAGAACTTGCTGTGTGAAGCAAAGAAGTGTATATATAAGATAGTACACTTTACCTATGGGTAACCTAAGTCTATGACTTTCAGAAAATGTATCAGTTTCAAACATTTTCCACAAAAATGTAAACATCTGTTGTACAGCTGCAATGCAGTATTCCAATTCCAGACTTTAAAAAGACTTGTTTAATAAATCAGTAATGTTTAAAAGTACAACAGATATGACAAGAAATGCAGGTTTATCTTATATGAAAAGGAACAGTTAATACAACACATTAGATTTTTAATCTAATAATTTTGACTCTCAAAATCTAGATATTCTCCTGCAACAGAATGTGATTAATTTGCAATTCTACCCCCCTACTTCTCTCTCAAAACATAAACAAAATGTTCTTACTAGCACAGCTGTTGCTACATATAATGACTACAAGGCAAGATTTCATAAGAAGATATAATACCTTTTTTGCACTTTCAGGACCCGCTTCATCAAAACGAAATCTGACAATACGGAAGTCTTTGCAATAAATTATTAATTCAGTTGGATTAAACTTAAGTTTTTGGTTGGGACCAAGGACCTTCTGCTTCCTCTTGGTGTCATTCACTGTAAAGAAAAGACAAAGTTATTAGACTGTGTTTTGTAATATACAACACAAGACTGGCTCAGATAGATACAGTGATGCTGCTACCAGCAGTTTTTCATTTAATAGTGTATTTCAACAGTTCCATTGAGGTAGAAAACCTATAGGTCCTCTTGTTAATCAACCTCCTTTCAAACAACTGGCTGAATTACTGTCTCCTGTATGCCCAGATTATTTTTGTCCATCAACAACTTCACAAACAAGGAATTAACATGCAGTATTCCCAAGAGCAATTTTTGCTCCCAGACAGTTGTGTACACTTCAATGCCCTTCTGATGCACAGTAATTGGCATATATGCTAATTTTTTTTTTTTTTTTACTTGGACATATACAAAAGTGCTGGAGTTAAGGCTAAGCTTAACTCCTTATTTCTTACATAAAACTCAAGAATGTTAGTAAACTGCCAGCTGGTCTAGACCTGCATAGACAGGCTGTGTCTCTTGGCCTATGGAACTCCTTTTCAAACAGAGAAAGTTAAGTTGTAAAAAGTAAGCATCACAGAAGCCACAGAGACTTTACTTGTGGTAACTGGGAAAACTGGGGCACATAGCTGTTGAGTGATTAATTGACATAGCTGCCTGGTTGCAGGTATCTTCTGGGTTAAACTTAATTACTTCCAGAGAACTCAAGACAAGTGTTTTAGGAAACCTCCAGCTGTTCACCTTCAATGTACCAACCATCAAGCAACCCCTTCTGCAGTGTGGGTGAAAACCTCCCTTAATTCCTGCTGGTAAAAGCTTATGCTTCACTATATTTTGGTTTCTCCTGCGTAACAGGAGAACAAAAAATAATCTCCTCAAGTGTGTGGCAGGAAATACTGCCCTCTCCCCCTAAAGAGCTTCAAACCTCAATGGAAAAGCTAAACAGAAAGAATTCCTAGAGAATTTGTACCATTCTTCTAATGAAACTGCAAACATTCGTGCTATTTGACAGTTTGGGGAGACATGCACAAAAGAGTAATCTAGAATCTGTCAGCCCTCAAGTTTCAAAATAAAATCTATCCGTAGTCCTCTCCCATTTAGGAACAACGTGTTTCGTGTGAGAGGGGACAAAATTAATAGAACAATTATTCAAGGCTGGCTGGCTTTTCCCCCCTATTCAGTGGAGTTTATTGTATGAGCATTTGTACGTGACGTTAAATAAGACGACTGCAACACCCCATTTGTAAACACCTCTCCATACAGAGCTGTCATTAACAGATTTGCAATACTGCTACTGTTTTGTCACTTCTACCTGGTATTTTCAAAAAGGGGCAAAAAATGTGGGCCAGTGCAAAACCATATAATAGGTCAATAGCACCTCTTCATTTATAAAAAAACATTTCTTCATAATATTCTTCCTCAGATATACATTAATCTTTTCACAGTGATTACAACCAGCTTCCAGAGTGGAAATGGATTACTGGATAACTTTGGGCACTGAAAACTTAAAAGTAATGATTTAAATTACCTAGTCAGAAAACCAATTATTTAACAGCCCATGCCATAATCAAGATTTGAAAATTATCATATTAAATTCTTCAGTTAAAAGATGAAAAACATTCTTCTTAACAAACAGGTTAGCCTAAAGTATCTACCAAATAAAAACCTGGTTCTTCAAGATAAGTATTTTATAAGTTATTTCTTCAGATTAAGATGTCTATTGTCATTTGTAGATTTTTGAGGACCACTAGCTATTAACTTGCTAAGAATTAGACAAGATTGAAAACTCGAGCATTTATGTTGTCGGATATCCCAGCGATGTCTAAATTGTGTAGAGTGACATGCTTTTTGCATTCTAGTGTATTTAAATGAAAGACATTCAGATACTTGATACAAAAAAAGCTGCTAACAAAATTTTGTACTGCTATAACAGGTGTCTATCCTAGAACACCTGTTGATTCAGTATTGTAGTTAAATTTAAAACCAACATAAAGACCCAACTAAATATGTCTCCTGCATGGCACCTCAAGTTTTATTCAGCTTTTAAGGCTTTTATCCTAATTTTAAATAAACCAAATTCTTCGAGTCAGGGAAGCTTAATGACATAAAACCTTAAGTATCAACAATTCTGCACAACCTAACAAGCAGTTAACAGTTTTGAACTGAGTAAGTTTAAAGCCTGTCATCACACTTAACTGTTTTGGACATACCTGTAACAATCTGCTCAATGCATGTTAGTGGGACATCATGTTCACCAAGGAGAAGATTTTTATAATGGAATTTCTGAAACACATGAACTCATAGCCATTAATTGCAGTTCTGCAGTTCACAACCAGATATACAGCACAACTTTGAAGAAACTATGACAAAAATCAGGCATGCCTAGACTTTTCTGACATGTACCACCCTTGCCTATTCACAGACAATTAGAGGTTGTGGAAACAGCTCTCGTGCTGGTGAATACACATCAGACAGTTTAGAAACCCCAGTGGAGTACGCAGAATAACTCCACTGCCTACACTGAATTTACTAGCCTCAAAAATTGCTGGTAGAAATTCAGTACCATTTGAAGTGTAAAAAAAAAAATTTTATATATATATATGATATAAAAAAAAATCTCCAAACATTACTGTAACCATAGAAAGAAAAAAAATTAATTCAGCTTTCAGAAATAAGTTTTGACAACTACTTCATGTCAAAAATTCATTTTTTTGAAGTAGCTTTGGTCAAACTTACTAACCATTACTGAATAAGCATCTACCTACTTTCAGAGCTTTACACATGCCTAGTTAATGGAGTGTTTCTTTTAAAAGCCCAAAATGAAAGTGAAAACCCTACTAAAATAACATACAGCTCACAACTTGGATTTCCAAACAGTACTGTATGCTGTGCTGTTCAAAAACCGACCAAGGTTTTGGATGTCACGTGTTCTGGTTTGACAAAGGCTTGGTTTCTTTCTCCCCTTTCCTTGTTGCTCCATCTACAAGGAAAACTCATTTCATGGTTACTGTGTCCTCTGTCAGTAATGCCAATAAAACTTGGATGCAGTAAAGGCTTTGCTGATCTAGTTTGCTTGTCTAGTCAAAGGAACATTTGCAATTACTTTCTTCAAGAAGAACATGTTTTTATATAATTCCTGCTTTGCCTTTTGTAAAGCCACTTCCCAATGAAGCTTCCATAAAAAGAGGTAAATAGAGTTCACTGTATTTCCATACCAAACTTGCTCTGTTTTGATATTGTCAATGAAGGGATGGAATAGCAACACATTCAGAACAGAACAGTGGAACCTCATCATTTAGCCTGCTTTGTTTTAGAAGGCATCATATTTATATCAGACATGAGACAGATTCACTGTATTCTAATTAAATCCATTTTACCTATCACATTTGTTGTCATGATGTAGCAATTGATAATAACAAACCTGTAGTGGCATTGGGTCATCCGTAATAAAGGAAATCTTGAAGTTAGTGCAAACCAATTTGCCCCACAGATCATATTGACTTGTATCTGTTGCGATGCATTTTCTTACAAAATTTACTTCATTTACCACAATTTCACCTAAAACAGAAAAAGGGGACAGGAAAAAGAAAAGCCTATATAAAACTTGTAGGTACAACAATTCTAAGTCTGTAGTACCAAGAAACCCTTAACTCTTTATGTGTGTCAAGTTATACACCTCTTCTGGGTAAGCCTGGAGATTAACTAAACAGCACTCGGGGGTGGGGGGGGAAGAAAACTACAGTTCCAAAATAGACAATATTGTGCAGTAGTGAAAAGAAAAAACCTAAAAAGCAAAACAAAACAAAACACAAAAAAACCCACAAACCACAGACCACTTTCCTTATACCCAGAGATCAAATCTGCAATCCTTCATTATTAAAAATTCATTGGTTTGGACAACACTGTCCTGTAAACAAAGGCATAAATTCATGTACTTCAGCTAGTATTTATTTTAAAAACTGCAATTAGCTGGCTATTGTTAAGTACTTTACATAGTTTCATGAACTTCATGAATTCAGAATAATCAGTCCACATCTAGTTTTGCACTTATAAACAGATTTTCATGTGATGTCATAAAAGAAAAAACAGAACACAAACACATTAAAGACTCCTCACCATTTCAAAATTTCTACTGTGACCATCTAATGAAGGAGGCCAACCATTTCCTTTTGCAAAACAGAAGATCCAAATGAAGCAAAAAAAAAAAATATTATGCTAATTCATCTGGGATAAGCTATGAAATAAAAAAGCATACAGGCAAATGAGACTGAGGACCATTTAAAAAGAGAAAGTAAATTGCTACACACAATGCTACTTTTTAGTTCCACAACAGAGGTTTCTGAAAGCTAAATAGTAATTTCATTCTTACTTCAGGAAATGAACTTGGTCATTTAGTCCCATATATGGCTTTTGCTTCTGTCATCACATCAGCCACCTCCTGCTGCTGCTGTCTACCACAGTGTGGGAGTGGAAGTGGGTTCAGGAAAAGTGTAATTTTATACTAGCTGTAGGGTTTTGTTTAAAAAAAACTAAGGACCAAAGATTACTAAAACCTAATTTGCTCATAATAGTTTGGGCATATTTAGTCCCAGTTGCCCAAAATGTCATCTTAGAGCGTCCTGTGCTTTGCAAGAAAACAGTCAGTTCTTTGGGTGACTATAATGGCAGTAATCAGTTATCTGTATGCCCAATGAGCAAGGATATAACTCTGAATAAATCTTCCATCTGCCTCCTGATATAGAGAAGGTATTTTCCTCAGGTAGTTATCACTGCACCCAAGTAACCACATGTGGTGGGTTGACCCTGGCTGGACACCAGGTGCCCACCAAAGCCACTCTATCACTCCTCAGCTGGACAGGAGAGAGAAAAATATAACGAAAGGCTTGTGGGTCAAGATAAGGACAGAGAGAGATCACTCACCAATTACCATCACAGGCAAAACAGAGTCGACTTCGGGAAAATTAACTTAACTTATTACCAATCCAATCAGAGTAGGGTAATAAGAAATAAAACCAAGTCTTAAAACACCTTGCCCCCAGCCCTCCCTTCTTCCCAGACACAACTTCATTCCCAAATTCTCTACCTCCTCCCCCCTGAGCAGCACAGGGGGACAGGGAATGAGGGTTGCAGTCAGTTCATCAGACAATGTCGCTGCTGCTCCTTCCTCCTCAGGGGGAGGACTCCTCACACTCTTCCCTTGCTCCAGCATGGGTCCCCCACGGGTCCACAGGTCCTGCCAGGAGCCTGCTCCAGCATGGGCTTCCCACAGGGTCACAGCCTCCTTTGGGCATCCACCTGCTCCGGCTTGGGGTCCTCCCCAGGCTGCAGGTGGAGATCTGCTCCACCGTGGACCTCCATGGACTGCAGGGGGACAGCCTGCCTCACCATGGTCTTCACCACAGGCTGCAGGGGAATCTCCACTCCAGCACCTGGAGCATCTCCTTCCCCTCCTTTTTCACTGACCTTGGTGTCTGCAGGGTTGTTTCTCTTACATGTTCTCACTCCTCTCCCCGGCTGCCGTTTCCGTCTGTCCCAACTTTTTTCCTTCTTAAAAATGTTATCACAGAGGCGTTATCACCATCGCTGATGGGCTCGGCCTTGGCCGGCGGTGGGTCTGTCTTAGAGCCGGCTGGTATTGGCTCTATCAGACATGGGAGAAGCTTCCAGCAGCTTCTCACAGAAGCCACCCCTGTAGCCACCCCCACTACCAAAACCTTGCCTCACAAACCAAATACACCACACATTCAAAGAACTGTCTGTCCTGGTTTCAGCTGGGATAGAGTTAATTTTCCTTCTAGTAGCTGATGTAGTGTTATGTCTTGGATTCAGTCTGAGAAGAATGTTGATAACACACTGATGTTTTCACTTGTTGCTAAGTAGTGTTTACACTAAGTCAAGGACTTTTAAGCTTCTCATGCCCAGCCAGCGAGAAGGCTGGAGGGGCACAAGAAGTTGGGAGGGGACACAGCCAGGGCAGCTGACCCAAAGTGGCCAAAGGAATATTCCATACCATGTGATGTCATGCCCAGTATATAAACTGGGGGGCGATGGCCTAGGGGGGGAGGTGGATCGCTGCTCGGGAACTAACTGGGCATCGGTCAGCAAGTGGTGAACAATTGTATTGTGCGTCACTTGTTTTGTATGTTCCAACTCTTTTATTATTATTATTGTCATTTTATTATTGTTGTTACTATAATTTTCTTCCTTTCTGTCCTATTAAACTGCTCTTATCCCAACCCATGAGTTTTACTCTCTCCCCCACCCCTCTAGGTGCGGGGGAAGTGAGTGAGCGGCTGCGTGGTGCTTAGTTGCTGGCTGGGGTTAAACCACGACACTGTCTTTAGCATTCCGAACACTTGAGCAGAAACGCACCTTTTACTTGTCCTGAGACCCAGTCTCTGCACATGCTCCTCACCCTAAGCTATTTAGCTAAGCTGCCCTGCTAGCTCTCATGCCCTCATTATCATTAGGCATCAGCCTGGAAGTCACCAAGAGCAGCAGCAAACAGAGTCCCTGCTTTTAGTTCAGTTGTGATAAACAGCTACAAAAACTTCTTGGACTAACTCTGTAGCCTTGACCTGGCAGAACTATGTTGAGTATTCTGGGACTGTTTGAAGATGTAAGGGGACAAGTTTCACTGACCTGTGGTTATCATATACATGCATAGTCTGTGCCAGAAGTGGCAAGAGTTCTGAAAATGCTCTATAGACAGATGTGCTGGAGCTTTAAAGTCTTTTCTCAAACATTACTAAACTATGGTTAAATAAGCTTTTGAATTTGGGAAAAAAAAATAATCTGAATCTGACAGCTTCAGTACAAATTGTTAAAGCTCAACCAAGCCCTCAGCAACTGAAAACAATGTCTTATAATGGGATACATGCGAATGACAAGCCCTACTTCTGTTAAAACACTGTAATGAAAGTGTTTCAATACTTCTAGCAGTCTGGCCTGAAACTTCTTAATGCCCAGCATTTTTTCTAATAAGCTGTTTACTTAAATAACTGCAAAAGCCCAAACTGTATATTAAAGCAATTCCTTCTCACAGTTGGTGTTAATCTTCCAACTATTCAACATCAAGCTCTCAGTCACATCCTGCCTGTGAAGCTTCCCCTCTCCACAAAGTCAGTTGTTCTAAACCTAAATAGTTTTTATTCTTCCCCCTCTCAGTACCTCCAGTGTATCACCACATTTCTAATAAAAAGGTATGGAGAACCAAATACACCATGAAGTGCAACTTCCATAGGTATTTTTTTTTCTCATATAACATTCTCTTACCTGTTACCAAGTGGGGCATTTTTTTAGTATTACACAGGAGACACTCTTGCTAAAAGCACAAATTTCTATTACCAACCTATTTCACTACTTCATGTCTCTGATGCTACAAAACAGTAGAGAAGGAAGAGATCCATGCAAACTTCTTCAATGTGAATCTACTACGGTTTAAAACATGCCTGCTACATCATTCTTTTTACCAAAGCCAGCTCTTTTTACTTCCCTTTGCCATTCCTCATAATTGTATGGCTACACTGCAACATGTTAATACTAATCCTATTTTAGTGCAACTTCATTTATTCTAATTTCATTCAACACAAATACTTTCAGGATTTTTTGGCCTAGCTTCTCCTTTGCACTCAAGTTTACAGCCCTAATACAAAACTGTCAGTTTTGAACCTGAGTATTATAATACAGCAAGACAGAGTGCATGCATACCGATTTCAACCGAAGGGTTTAAACATTGACAATGAAGCATGAGAAAGTTTGCAATGCAAACTTAATAGATGTAGTTTTCAATAGCCTCTAGAAACTGAACTTTTTTTTTTAAATGCAGGTTTGGAATTTTATATTGACCAGGCTTTTATCCATCATATGGATGTCTATAATGAGCAATATAAAAAGGTGCAAACCTTCCAAACTTAACTCAAATTTAGGAAAGCAGATAAACAACACAAGTAGTACGTGTTGGTCTTGCACAATGAACCCTTCTTATATTTGTAGTTGAGTAGGTGATTTTTCTATACAAGTGTCAACAACAGAGCTATTCAGAGATATTACACTGCACATTTTTACAATGTAGCTGCTGCTTTTTTCCAGTAAACAGTCACAAGCTGTTCCAGACACGGAACAGCAGTCAACACTTCCATGTGACTCGAACAGTCAAAGAATGATCTCAGGAGACAAGAGGAGTTTGTTTAAACTCTGTCAGGAAACCAGAAGAAAAATTACAGGTTGCTACCCTTCTATATAAAGCCTACTCATGTTTAATAAAAATATTTCTACATTGAATACATGAATCACAAAAACAACACAAGAGACTGAAGGATCTATCTAGCTAATACACCTTTCACTTAACACACAGCCTCAGAAACTATTAAACATCAGAAAAATTCTGCTAAATCTCCCAAAAGCACAAGCAATTTCAATGTTTCATATTTCGGATATTAAGAGAATTCACGGTATATATCTAATCCACCATAATGCATAACCCACTACAATCCAAATAAAATTCAGAAAGCAGAGCATGCACGCATGGGAACTGGAGACAACAGAGGCAAGACTAA